CTTCAGGAGCCATAGTATTGACTGAAAAAGAGGGACAGTAAATGATACTTGGATTTGGTTTAGTTTAGTGTTATTCCTCTAAATGAGTTTGGACTTTGAGGCCACTTGGTTCTGAAAAGCCAGGGGTAATGAGCGAGGCTTACCTCGCTGGAAGGTCAATTGCAAGGCAATTTCCAGGTGCAAGCAGGTCTGTTCATCTTTAGTCAACAAAATCAAACCCAGCAGAAGTGGGTGTATTAAGGCAAACAATGTTAATGGAGTCAAAATGTCCACATCGGTGCAGTGCACGGGTGTGATATAAATAGGACACACTTAGGTTTAGAAGGAATTAAAGCAACCAGTGGGGAATTCTTTAAACATTAGTTACAACCTGCCTATGTTATTGCTTTAAATTTACTGTCACCAGTCCAAAAACTATTGTTTGCAGGAAAGCAAATAAATCCAACAAAGCTGCACTGTTCTGCACATCCGTATACACAATCTTTCCTTTCAGTCTAGCAGTCTACCTAATGTAGTGTGAATGCCTAATGTGTAGAAAGTTGGGCTTGTGACTCACCTAACTAGAAACATGCAAAATAAAGACAAAAAGGGAAGATTGAGCAGGAAGTAGCAAAATACAACAAAGAGGCAGAAGACAAACAATTTCAGCTTTTTATGTTTTTTGGTTTTGTCCCCTCAGAAGTGCAGTAAAGTAACCATTGTGTACTTATCTCACTTAGCAGAAAAGACAAAAAAAATGAGCAAAGTGAAATTTGTAGATGCCATACACCTGCATATAGGGACACAACCACCACTTGAAATTAATTTCAAAAGAAGTGAGGGTGAGATTTTGCATGTTTACTGCAGCTTCCATAGCAACTTTCTGTCCCATTTCATCATTTTGCATGGAATTTTTCAGAAAGGATGGTCACAGCTGTTAATGGTATCTCTGTTGGCCTCTCACATCCCCATGGCTCTCAGTCCACATTAATCTAAAAAGCTGATCCACACAGTTGTCCTCTCCCAGACCAGTGCTTATGTTTCAGGTTCCTCACCTATTCAGCTGCTTTTACTTCAGCTGACTCATACATGCTACACCTCTGTGATTAAAAGCAATAGCACAACCACCTACGAATTATTTCTTTAGAACAAAACTATTTCAAAGACAACATATTAAAAAAAGTAATAGAGCAGCTTAGATATTTCTGCCTGGACCAGAGAAAGCTGAGCATCCTTACATTTTCTTTATAAAGTACCTTGTTTTGTTATCCCCTGTCCCTAAGCCATTTCTGATAAATGTGTCTTTTCCTACCCTTCCTTTCTCCACTGTTCCCAAAGGATTTTTATGTATGCATATATTCTTTTCACCTCCAAATTAACAGCCTTGTAAAACAAAACTGTGTTTCCATAAAGACAATTTATAAGGCCCTCAAAGCTGATAATTGGATCTGTTATCTTTCAAAAGAAGTTGTTGTTGTTTTCCCTCGGGTAAGTTACTGTGTGGTTTCCATGTTTGTCTTCACACAATCCTTTGTGGATTTAGATCAATACAGGCTTGCAGAAAACTCTGATAATACAGTACACAATATTTTCACTGTATGCTTCCCCAGTGCTTTTGTTTGGCAGATCATGTCCTTGATTCTTATTTTTGTTTGAAGGTGTTTTATAGGATGTGAGAAAAAAGTACCAAAAACTGCTTCCATGTGGGAACATGAGAATGAAAATAGGTCACCAGGAATCATGCTTTGTCATGTCACTTAATACTTTTCCTAAATGCAACAAACTGCTTTTTAGAGGCAGGTTTTTTTTTTCCTTTTTAAAACAAACAAACAAACAAACAAACAAACAGACACCTTTTTTTTCCCTATTGCTTCTGGGCAATATTTTTCCTAATGTAAGTGTGGATAGAAACTTTATTCCAGTTTCTAAGTTCCACTGGTCCATTTGCAGTACATTTTGCCATCTGCTCTTCCACCAACACAGAGCAGTGCCAGGAGTCCTGGTGCCAGGGGCTCCTCAAAGTCTAGGGTGCCAGGAGTGGCAGGAGCTCCCCATGGGGGTCTGTGAGGGCAGAGCCTGGCAGCCAGGGCCCATCCCACTCCCAGCCAGGAGCCAGGTATCTGGGGGGCACCAGGGCAGCCCCAGCTCCAGGCACCTCCCTGGGTACAGGTTGATGCTGGGCCAGGCCAGGCATCAGTCTGTAAATCTCCAGCTCAGCACGGCCCATGGCCAGACCAGGGTTGTGGCAGGACTGGAGCTGCAGCTCACATGGGCCAAGCGCTGGCCGCCCAGCCAAAAGCAGTTCCCATGGGCTGTGGAAGCCCTTGGCTGCTGCCTTCCTGCTGGCTGCCCCTGAGCCTCTCCCCAGTGTCCCAGTGGGACAGGGCAGCCCTTGTTGCTCCATCCATGGCTGGCCCCTAACCCAGGAAGCCAAACCTACAGGGGAGGGGATGCCCTCAGGCCTTTACAGTCACTATGGATAACAGTTCTCCTCCTCCTTATGCATTAATCCCAGCATTAACACCAGTCTGAAAACATTCAAGGTCAGGGTGGATGGAGCTCTGAGCAACCTGACCTAACTGAAGATGTCTCAACTCCTTGCAGGGGCATCAGACATTTAAAGGTCTCTTTAAAGGTCTCTTCCAGGCTAAACCATTCTGTGATTCTATGATTCTACAAAGCATACTTGCAACCGTGCCTTTCCTCAGTCTTTTCTATAGGTTACTTAAACCAAATTCATATGCTCAGAGACCCTTAGTTTCCCTGAGCACCTGAGCAGCCCCTCAGAGATCTGCTGTAGTAGTTTCAGCTCATCATTCCTGTGTGACTGGAGCTGTGCCTTTGACATGGGACAACACTCACCACAGCCTCATGCAAGGTTCTCACCCTGCAAGGCACCACCAGCTGAGTTCCCAAATTATGTAGTTCTCTCCTACGGCAGACCTCCTGTGACCAGCTGATATACCCCTCTCTTTCTCACTCATTTCCAGCTCATGAGCTCCCAGATACCTAATTTTTTCCTGGTTTTATTTCTGTGATCCTCAGGGTCGTTGAGTTGTTCCTTCCCTGTCCTGACTCCATCTCCCAGCTTTATACCCTCAGCAAATTTCATCAGCACATTTCCTAGCATCTGTGGCACTGGGAAGCACACTGCCCAATAGGTTTGACTGAGAGGTGAACCTCCCTCAGTAATTCAAGTTACGACTACTTTTACTACAGCCAAGGGCCAACCATCATTTTACATTTATTTCAAGAATGTCTGTAAAGCAGTATGAGTTACCGAATTATTACATCCATGCATAGTTAACAGTTATATGTATCAGAGCTACTCCATTACTCACAAACAGCAGCAGCTTCAGCAGTTCCCGTCTTAAAAGGGCTGGCTTTATTTAGGGCAGGCACAAGGTAACAGCAAGCATTATCTGATTTTTTACCTTTTTGCATGTAGAATTACTTTATTCCTGTCTGCCACTCTTAGGAGCTGAGAGAACTCTTCATTAGATGACCTTACTTCACTTTCACAACTTACTGTTCACACTGCACTTCCCTTATCCAACTGAGGATACTAAACTGGGAGGAGCTGTTGGCTCCCTCAAAGGCAGGGAGGCCCTGAAGAGAGACCTTGACAAATTAAGAGGGATGGGCAATCACCAACCTTATGAAATTTGACAAGGGAAAGTGCTGGATTCTGCACCTGGGATGGGGCAACCCTGGATGTACGTACAGACTGGGGAATGAGATGCTGGAAAGCAGTGCCACAGAAAGGGACCTGAGGGTCCTGGTTGATGGCAAGTTGAATATGAGTCAGCAGTGCCCTGGCAGCCAGGAGGGCCAACCGTGTCCTGGGGGGCATCAGGCAAAGCATTGCCAGCTGATCGAGGGAGGGGATTGTCCTGCTCTGCTCTGCACTGGGGCGGCCTCACCTTGAATGTTGTGTGCCTATTGTATTGGATATGGTGTGTTTTGGGCACTACAATATACAAAAGACGTTAAGCTGTTAGAGAGCGTCCAAAGGAGGGCAACAAAGATGGTGAAGGGTCTAGAGGTGCAGTGGTGTGTCCCACCCCACCCATAGGCTGCACATGAAGCCCATGTGGAGCGGCTGAGGTCACTTGGTCTGTTCAGCCTGGAGAAGAGGAGACTGAGGGGAGATCTCACTGCAGTCTTCAATATCCTCACGAAGGGAAGAGGAGGAGCAGGAACTGATCTCTTCTCTGTGGTGACCAGTGACAGGACCCATGGGAATGGCCTGAAGTTGTGTCAGTGCAGATTCAGGTTGGATATTAGGAAAAGGTTCTTCACCCAGAGGGTGGCTGGGCACTGGAACAGCCTCTCCAGGAAAGTGTTCACAGGACCAAGCCTGACAGAGTTCAAGAAGCATTTGGACAATGCACTCAGGTGTGACTCTTGGGGATGGCCCTGTGTAGGGTCAGGAGTTGGACTAGATGATCCTTGTGGGTTCCTTTCAACCCAGGATATTCTATAACTAATTCTATAATTAGAATTCTATTCTATTCTACAGAATAGAAAAAATAGAATTCTATTCTATTCTATAACTAATTCTATTTTATGGGCCGAGCTAAACTATATCTAAATCTACTTAAATCTATTTAACCTACCTAAACAACAAATGCAGGAAGAGCATAAGTATACTCCTATCCTTGGCTGGGATAATTCAGTTGTCCAGACAGACTCTGCTCAAGACGCCCCCAAATTTCTCCCATACTATATTCGCCTATATATGATATTCCCGCTTATTATCCCCTGTAATATTTCTCGTGTTTCTCTCTCTCACATCCTCGCCCATCCCGTTTCACTGCTGAGTGGTAAGTTCATTAACACCTCGGGCGCTAACGATGACCCCGCACAGCACCGACGGCCCCCGCCCACCGTCCCACAGGGGCCGCCCGCCCCGCCCCGCCGCAAGCCCCGCCCCCGGGGAACTCCTTGCCCGCGGATTGGTCGCTGCAGCGCGCGGCGCGGGGCGGGGCCGTGCGGCGTATTTAAGGCGCAGTGGAGGAGGCCAGTGGAGTCACTCGCAGGGGAAGCCGGGACGGTGCGGGAACAGTGAGTGGCGGGGCGGGAGCTGCCGGGCCCCTTCCCCGCGTGCCGCGGCGGCCGGGGCTGGCCCGGCCTGGCGGAGAGGCGCCGGGAATGCCGGCTGCGCGGCGTGCCCGGCTGGCCGGGCCTTGCCTTGCCTTGTGTCCCGCGGTCGGAAGCGTCTGCTCGGCCTCCGGGCGCGGCGGCGCTGTGGCTGCCCCGGGAGGGAAGCTGTCCTTCGGAGGGTGCTGTCGCTGGCCCCCCGTCACCTTCCCCACGCTCGCTGTCCCTCCCCATGAGACTCCCCCCGCGCAGTCCTTAGGAAGCCCACGGCGCGCTTCCCTCCCTTCCGCCCCGAGCCCTTGTGCTGCAAAATCCTGTAAAATAGCAAATTTAGCCTTTAGGTCAAACCTCCCGCAGAGCAGGGCGCGGGGCTGTGTGCCGCTCCAGGCAGTGGCTTTGGGGGGCGGCGAGCGCTCGGCGATGGCTACGGACCGCTCCTAACTTGGTTCCCTGCTCTCCTCTGGGGCACTAATGATGCCTGTGGATAAGAAGGGCCAGGTTGTTTCCGTGCACTGATAATCTCTTGGGTTAGTTTATTTCAAAGCGCCACTGTTGTATAGTCCTGCGAAAAGGTAAGAGAGTGGAGTCTCTTCTGCATAGGTAGGAAGGGTTCAGTACTCCAGTCTGAAGGACTTACAGGAAGTTCTAGCCCTGGTTTTGCAGAGGGAAGAGGAAGTAACATCCAGCCTTTTGCTGTGCACTAAGCAGCATTTGCTTTTCCAAGTTCAGAGCTTTCTGGAGCAGGCTTTTTTGCAGCTCTGCAGTGTGACTTGAGTGATTCAATGCCCCTCTGGTTTTTAAGACTATTTAACTATGTTTAAGGTGATATTTAAAGTAGTCTCCACCTTAGTAAATAGTTCAGATCTTGTTTGTGTTGAACAGGATATCAACCTCCCTGTAATTTGCTGTCTGTAATTTTGTGTCTCTGCTGTGCAGCGAGAGTCCTGATGTTGCTCTAGGAACCGGTTGAGTGAAGGGGGGAGTCAGATGCACTGGACTGATGCCTGTGTGCTGGTTTCTCTGAAGAGCTCCAGTTGAATCCTGCCTGAGCTCTAACTGCATGTGTGGATGGTGGTTTCATTAGGGAAGCCCAGCTTCACTGAGAAGCATTCCTTTAACTTAGTTATGTCCATATAATCCTTCTGAAGGTGTTTAGTTTTCACCTTTCCTGACTATTAAAGAGGAAGCTTGACCTGTCTGGTGGTTTGGAGTTGTTCTAATTGGTGTTTAAAAGTCATTATCCAAACTTAAACTTGATGGATGCTTTAAATTAAATAGAAACTCTCTCCGGTGAGGGAAAGGATTTTTGTATGTCAAACACCAGTATCTGTGTAAGTACAACCCTGCTTGAAAGAAAATGTGTGCATCTTAAATTTGGGGTGATGCATGTATTGCAGTATATTGTGTGGGAAACTTGCAGCTTAAAAGTATTAGTTTCAGCTATACAGAGTAGTCAGCTGTTCAAGAAATCCTAAGACAAGCAGCCAGATGCTTTAACAACTATCATACTTGTCTTGTGACTACTGTGTAGAAGTAGAAGAAAGGCTTAAAGGATCTGACCTAAAGCTGACTCAGCAACATACTGAGTCACAGTGGCTGGTGCTGCTGAAAGTGCTTGTTCAGTGTATTACAAGAAAAACTGGAGTTTTTCTCCCAGTCCAGGCGCTTGGATTTCAGAGGCATATTTCAGGAAGCCTCCTTCTCTGGAGATATTCAAAAGCCTCCTGGACACAATCCTGAATAATGTGCTGTAGGGGACCCTTCTGGAGCAGGGAGCTTAGACCAGATGGCCTCCAGTCGTCCCTTCCAACCTTACCCATTCTGTGATTTGTAAAGCTCATTATTTTCCTGTCTTAGGGGAGATGCTGTATCTTTTTCGAACTTGAGATCTGAGTTTCAGCTTGTTGGTTTTGTTGCTTGAGCGAACAGTATATCTTTTCAATATTGATTTCAGACTGGGAAGGAAGACAGAAAACTGAGAAGGGGAAAGGTCTTGGGTTCTCTCATGTGAAGTTCAGCTGAAACTAAAACAAAAGAAGGAAGTGGTAGCATTGAAGTAGTCAGTGACCATTTGCTCATGGCCTGCTGGGGCTGGCTTCTGTTCCCATGGCTTCACTCTGACCTTTCTTGGGAAGTCTGAGTGGCAGGTTGGGACTTTAAAGCAGAAGAAAGCACAGTTCTTAAGCTGCCTGCTTTTAAGTGCCCTTGTAGAACATTAAGTGTGGTGCTTTCTTGCATCTAGCTCCTAGCATTCAAGCCTGTGGCACACTATTAATTGAACTCATAATGAAATCTACTCTTTGAAGTTGCATTTCATTTGAGTAACATTTTTGCCTGTAATTTTGCAGTGAAATGAAGTGTATGATTTAATTGAAGTATCTCTACAGACAGATATACTATATCAGGTATACTATACTATATATACAGTCTCTATATAAGCTTGCTCAGTTTAACTTCGAAAGTTATTTTGAGGGGAGAGGCAGAAAAAGTGGTGTTGGAATTTAAATATGCTTTTGTCACTGGGTGATTTCAAGGAAGGGAGGGGCATCAAGTTTTATATTATTACAGTTTGGTGTGTAGCATTAGCAGTTGAAAGGTGAAAGTCTTGTGTGGCTGCTTGATTACTGACTGTTGCTTCTTAAACCTGTGAAGGCTGAATTATTTTTCTTTCACAGGATCTTCAGCAACACTTCTAGTCAGAAAATGTCCGCTCTTGAAACCGTCTTTAAATACATTGATGAACACCAGGACCTCTATGTTCAGGTAAGTTTTCTTTGAGTTTTGTCTTGCAGCATGGGCAGCTATGGGATATTAAAAGTTAGATGGTCATCTTCAAGCTTATTGTTGCACCTGTATAATATACCCAATAAGAGAGAGTAATGTGAAGTAATTGGAGAGAGGGGAGAGCAAGCAGCAGGTGAAACTGATTTGAGTCAAGCTAGAAAACTGTTCTTTCAGTTTAGGCATAGGTTCTGTTCCGAAACATAAGTGTCCACGTTAGATTTATTAGGAAATTATCTATTACTGTATAGTGCAAACAGTGACTTATTTAGAGGTATGAGAAGTTTGATACTGGCTCCTGAATGCAGAGCTAGGTTTGTAGTCTCTTTTCTTCTGAGACGGGAGATGAAAGCTCTAAATGAGGCTGGACTAAACCTTTCTTGTATGAAACCATTTATGTTGGGGTACAGGGTGAGATGTTACCCTCTCCAAAGAGGTGCTTTGCTGCTTGACCTGCTATTTAGTTGCAGCTTGTATTGCAGTGCTGTTTACCTGTGAAGGAATCAGTGGTACAGCACTGTGAACTCAGGCAAGAACTATGCCAAGCGTTCAGCTTGATTTCTGCCAGTTGCTCTTGCTGATCTCACACAGGGAGAAAAAGCTCAAGTGTCCTTTCTGAGAGGCCTGAAAGACATCAACTGGTTCTGGATACTTAAAGAACAGCAACCAAAAAAGCACAGTATGCACGAGCTTTCATACTCTTAACCTTACCTTATATATCTGTAGAGTTTGTGCTGTACTGCAGGGGCAGAGTGAGGTTTTGAGTGTAATATTAGTGGTTAGAGTACTTCTTTGAGCAGAGGACAGAGTGGATTTATCTCAATTAAAACTTAACTGAAAACAGTGTTTGTTGAATAACAAGGTGTTGTATTTGTATAGTGCCTGTCACGTGTAGTAAAACCTGTAGCTCTTCCATGTTTCTGTAGCGCCTGGCTGAGTGGGTGGCAATCCAGAGCGTGTCGGCATGGCCGGAGAAGAGGGGTGAAATCAAACGCATGATGGAGGTTGCTGCGAGGGATATTGAGCGACTGGGAGGCACAACCCAACTTATGGATATTGGGAAACAAAAGGTATGTGAGCATCTCCATGTCAGCTTAGTGGAAAAAGTCCACTTAGAAGACAAGATGTTTTGCACAAGAAGGTGCCGATTTCTTATGTTCCCAGTAAGAAAGGCACTTAGTCTCCATAAAGTATAATTTAAAATGCTGTTTATTAGAGTTACCACTATAAAGAAAGAGGACAGTATAGATACTCATGTCCCTGCAGCATCTAGCAGGCATCCAACCAGCATGCAACATGCTGTTTAGATCGCCTTCCTGGGAATGTGATACCATTCTGTTTTTTTCAAGCTGTCTGATTCCACTACCAGACAAAAGGGATATTCACATGAGAACTTCTTGATGCACTTTTAGATAAAGTGTAATGCAGGCAGTGTAATCACCAGTGTAATCACCAGTGCCAAGTGGGAACTGCCTTCAGGTTACCGTCAAGTGGCTCAGTTTAACCTGCAGTCCAGGGATATGCACAGCACAATACAGGCAGGAAAGCAAAACTATGTTCTATGGGCAGCATAGCCTAGCACAGGCTTTGGTGTACTCAGATTAACTATGTGGATTGCTAATTTTTTATGTCTGGTAATCTTCTGCTCAGAATCACCACACAAGGGTCTTGTGGGTAGTGGCCTAAAAAGTCAGAACCTTGTACGGTGTGGTGTAAGTCTTTCCTGCCACACAGTCTGAGCTTTCTGTTAAAAACCTTTCTTTATAGTGAACTTTGGGATCCAGATCAGTTAAACATGTTGTATTAAGTTTTGGACTGTATTAAATGTGTTTTAAATACTCTTCTGAACGAACAGAACACCTGCAAACAAAAGTGCTAGTCATTTTTAACAACAGGCTAGTGTTGATCCTTAGGCCCATAGAGTGTAAAGATACTGACTGAGGTTTCAATAAGTCTTCCAAAAGACCTTTGGGCTCTTTTAAAGTGTTAAATTTGTCACCAGATTGCATTGTTTCCTTACCAGATACAAAAGTATCATTAAAAGAATGAGTTCCCTCCTTGTTTTTAGCTATCTGGACTGCTTTTTTGCCCGAGAAATGTATGTGCTTATGAGAAAGATAATAATAATCTTGTCCTCAGGAACCATCCACTCGATGTACTGCTCCTTTGAAGTGCCTAGTCACTATATGCCAGAGAATAAGACCCATACCAAAATTATTAGACGAGCATTTGGATAGTGGCATTAAAAATCCTGTTGTACTGGAATGTTTGCTAGTTTTAGAAGATTATCATTGTAGTTGGTGGGAAAGAATGCTGAGTGAAATCTGCATGTATTGGAACCTTCTGAGCAGTTCTTGCCTTTGCCAACTGGATTACACTTGTTTGTAGGACTACAGGTTCCAACAAGGAAACAGCTGACTTCGTGTGTCCTCTTGGGAGAGAATCTGTAGGATAATTCTAGCTCTGCTGCTACATACAGCCTAAAATCCCCTCAAAAGTGTTTCAGTTAATTCAGAGACAAAGTTGTTCCTTTCATCACTAACTTTTTGGTAGCTTATTTTAAAGTTTTATGCATAACATTATTATTCAGAAAACTTTAATCCAGCTGCAAAAGTTAACTCCAGTGTTTGGTTTTATATTAAGTATAGACAGAGCTAGTCAGTGTATTAGGTACATTCCTGCTATATCTATGAAGGACAATGTAAAGCAACTGGTGAACTTACCTGATCAAAGTTTACTGCTGCACAGCAGTTTGTTCTGTGTACTGATTACTGTAAATTCTTGCAGTAGTTCTTTAATCATGTAGAGCTGCAGCTGGCCAAGGACCATGTAGCCTGTTGATAAAAAACCTGGAGTTTGGAGCCTATATGAGCAAAAAGTGCAAGCTGATCTACTGAACAGTGTGTAGGAGTATGTGTTCACCAAAAGGGAAATACATGCTGACTGAGAGTAGCATGTGATAATTGCTTATGGGGTATTCCAAAGAACTAAGCCAAGTTCAACTCTTGAACTCTTGAACCGAGTTCATCAGCACTACTCTGCCCTTAGCTTAACAGCATAGGCTTGTATAGAGAAATACAGCTGCTATGCTGATCTTATTTGGGTGTAGGCACGTTACACTCAGAGATACCACTGTCAGGAAATTTTTGTCTAGGGAGCTATACTGTAGACAGGATGAAAGTGCAGTGATAAGCAACACAGAATGCAGGATTGAATGGAGTTTATCGCTTATGCTGAGGTCAGCATTAGACATGGCAGTTTGGTGTGCAGTCAGCTTGCTCTGCTAAAGTCTGATGTAGGATTGGTAGTTTAAAGCTAACAGTTCTGAGTGGCTTGGAACATTCTGATTGTTACTGGGACTTGTTGGAAAGCTAACTGGCACGATACCTTCTCTGGCACCCTGCTTCTGGCAATCAGTTTAAGTAGCTTAGTTGTTTTTTTTTTAGCTGTCTGTCCCCTTAGTGTCATAACCTCCACAGTATTAAAGTAATTCATTTATCTGATAAAAACATGTTCCTCTGACATTCCACGTTTGAATACAACTTCTTCCCTCCTATTTCTAGCTGCCTGATGGATCAGAGATCCCTCTACCACCAGTTGTTCTGGGAACACTTGGCACAGATCCACGCAAAAAGACAGTGTGTGTATATGGTCACCTGGATGTTCAGCCAGCAGTACTAGAGGATGGCTGGGATAGTGAGCCCTTCACACTGGTAGAAAGAGACGGTAAGAGCAGTGGATTTCACTGTGAGCACTTCTGTGGTATTCCTCAGTTGTTCCAAAGTTGTGCTGTTGATTGAAAGGGAGGAGAGTAAGAACAGGTATGAGTGTTTATTTAATACTGTTGAGATGAAAATATGCAGGAGGGAGAATGGTAAAAAAGTAGAACTGCAAAATCTCAGCTGGTCTCAGGGCTTGTTTCCTTTTCTGATAGTCTAGGATGTACTTGCATGTTATCTTCCTTGTAGCTACAGCACAGTCTTAACTGCTGCTTTCCATGGTAACAGTTTGTTGCCAGAAACCTTTTTAGAACTAGATTCTTGTGCTGTTCACAACTTGCAGCCTGTAAGGTCATGTCAAGACTACAGGGATTTTGAACCATTAGCTGGGAAAAATACTCAACACAGCTTCTTTATGCCTGGAGACAGGAGTGTCACAGGAGTCTCCCTGGATTGCCTTGTGTTTGCAAACTGTGCTGCCATGAGTACTGCAGAAGCTGTGTTTTGCAGAGCTGGTGCCCAGACAAGTGTCCCTCTCCTCTAAATGGGAATGAAGAAATGGTGCAGTAACTCCTGTTGAAACAGCACTGCCAGTAGCCAAGATGACTAAAACTCTTTTCTATTTAAAGCTGGTGCTACCAACAGCCTCTCCCTTGTTCCACTTTCTCAGTGTTAGTGTCAAAGGTCATGTGAATAGAAGGACATTAACCACTTGTCTTGCATAAGTGTAATGATTGCCAGAAAAAGGAGTATCTGTGGTAACTAGTATTTCTACTTGGGCCCTTGGTCATAGGCAGCAGAGTCCAAGTTACTAAGTTGGATTCTCTCATCTGATAGCAAGACCTAGATTTGCCTTGGGCTGTGGCTTGTCTCTGTGCAGCCTAGGAGTGCAAGAGGCATTTTCACCAATGGCTCTTTACCTTGCAAGCTGTCTGTCTTGTTCTGTCACTGTGGTTAGACCTGGTGCTTAGGGGTTGTAGCTGCAGCTCTGAGTTGCAATGATATCTGCCTCTGTGATCCCATGTGCTACGTTTTCTGGAAATTCCCTGTAGCCTGTAAAACTTGCCTTTGACTAAAGCCCTTTCTAAGGAGATCCAGTTTTGTCTGGAGAATCCGGTGAACTGATTTGTCACTAGCTACTGAATTCTTACTCTTCAAACAGAGTTATTGAATTGTAGCTAATACTGGATAGGTTTCTGTTAAAAGGAGGGAGCTTGTTTCTTACACTTACTACTATGTTTGTAGAAAATTGTATTATTGTGAATGATAAGGCAGTTACATCTTTTCCAGACTTATATTCAATTCCTGTCCAGGGAAAAGCTGGGGGGGAAAGGTGAGGTAGCTCTGAAAGTGGGAGAACTATAGCAGTCCCACTTGCAAGAGTGTATGAAGGAGGATGCAAAATTGCTACTTCAGAAGAATCAGAAATGAAAGTTTTTATATAAGCAGGGATAAAAAGACTATCCAAAAAGATGTTTCCTCCTGTAGGCAAGAGGTGAAGCTTCATGCTAATTTTTTTCCACCCTGGTTAATTTTTATCCTGTTTCTACAGGAAAGTTATATGGGAGAGGATCAACAGATGACAAAGGTCCAGTGCTTGCCTGGCTGAATGCCTTGGAGGCTTATCAACAAACTAACCAGGTCTGTGCCCAAAACATATTCTACTTTTCTACATACAACTGATTCTAGCAATAAATGTTATCCGAGCCACAAACGCTTGTGAGGGAAGCCTGCTTATTCAGCTGATCAGAGGAATGATGCAGTAGTCCTGTAAATTCACTTATGTACTAGTAGGGTGGAGTTGAGTTGCTGACAAGTTGGTCTGTTAGTTGCTTGGTTTGCACTTTAAACAATTTTCCTTTAATGAAATGTGTTGGAAGGAAAATGCATATGCAAGCATGAGGAGCATGATGAATAATCAAATGTGATCACTATCATGTAAGGATGTCAAATTAGCTTGACCTTTATCAAAACTTAATGTCTCACTGCCACTGAGCTCTAAGAGGTTAACTTAGTAACACTGACCTGCAAGCTTTGCTGTTTCCGTTCAAGAAAATAGCTCAGGGTGTCTGCCTTATCTTGCCAGACAAGTTCCTATTACTTGTGAGAAGAATGACTAGTTCTCTATTCCTGTCTAGGTATATAGAATATGGTAGTGTGAATAGACAGGGTAGCTCCGATGCTCCTACAGTGGCATGCAATTTCTGTGGTTAATATTAGTTTTCCTAGCCTGGGGGCTTACCTTTGGCAACAGATTTCTACTGTGTTCACACAGTTAAGGGGCTTGGGAATGAGTTGTTCTAGAGCTCAGTTAAAACTTTTTGAAGAGTTTGAATTGCATCAAATGAAGGGTGGTATAAGTGTCCTCAATGTAAGTGCCGTCTAAACTTTATAATAGTTTGTGCATAATTAACAAATTCCACTGCCATGGAACTAGTTTCCCCATGTCTATTTTTTTTGCTTTGAGCATGACAAATGAAAATTACTGATTGCTGAAGTAGTACAGCATTTTCATACTTAGTCTGTTCTTGTTTTTCATTTCAAAGGACTTTCCAGTAAATATTAAGTTCTGCCTAGAGGGTATGGAAGAATCAGGATCTGAAGGCCTTGATGAACTGATTTTTGCTCAGCGAGATACTTTCTTCAAAGATGTGGATTATGTGTGCATTTCTGACAACTACTGGCTAGGCAAGAAGAAGCCTTGTATCACTTATGGCTTGAGGGGCATCTGCTACTACTTCATAGAGGTAAGTGCTGAGATACACTACAAAACCAGTATTATTAAACTGAATTTTCTACCGGAGAAGAGTGGTAGCTCAAACTTTTTCATGCCAACAGCTTTTCTTCAGAGAAGGTGAAACTAACTACTGAACTAAAATGGTTTCTCCTAATTGTCTGAATAATTTTATTTCATTACCCTATCTGATGCTTGTGTGGTAGGGATAGCTTTCAGATGTATGAAGGAGGAGAAGCCAGCAACGTTCTCTGGAGAGTTGTTTCAGAGTGATCCTTGAGTGCAGGAAGAGAGATCACCACTCAGATCCCCAAGGTTGGGACAGTCAGTACTAAAGGCATGTATTCCAGAGCAATACAAAGCAGATCTGTTTTAATGTACTACAGCTGAGTGGTCTGGTTTCAAAACTAGATGCATTCTCAAAATACATGCAGGAAAAAGCTAGGGTAAATGTCTTTGGTGTATTTGACAGTATCTTCATGATAAATTAACCTGAATCTTAATTCACTTCAATCAGGTGGAATGTTGTGACAAAGACCTTCACTCTGGTGTGTACGGTGGTTCAGTACATGAGGCCATGACAGATCTCATTGCTCTAATGGGTAAGAAAAAGCAGCTTTCACTAAATGCATTTAAAATGAGAATAAGAACCATTAAAACATGAGTGAGTTTGCAGTGGGGAGGTTGGTAAGGGCTGCTTACACTAGCAAAGTGATGGCCAATGAAATGGAGCTTGCCAGGTATGCAAAGCTAGTGCCTGAGATACAGAAATATGGTGAAGGTCTCGCCGAAAGGTTGTCTATCTACTCTAGCTTCCTCTAAAATCTTGCTGCAAATTTACATGTTAATTAAATCAGCTGCCTTCTCAAACTCTGCTATGGATGTGATATTGAACTCTTTTGGACTCAGCCAGCCAAAGGTAACAGTAGAAGTAAATACAGTAGAATGTAACAGTAAAATTAATACAAGTAGCATGCAAGTGCACATTTTGGATAGCTGCAAATTCTGTAAGTGCCTTCCATGCTCAGTGGTGCATGCTCTGGGAGATAGAGGTCTGAATTTCATTACATTTATGAAGCTTTCAGAAGGCCAAGACCTGTGTTTCCCAAGGAAAGTGTTCCCAGCAATGACACCTTGTATATTCTGGTTTGAATACTGACACTAGGTGTTTCTTGTTTACAGGTTGTCTTGTAGACAAGAAAGGGAAAATCCTCATCCCAGGTGTTAATGAAGCAGTGGCGCCTGTTACTGATGAGGAGCTGGCGTTATATGAGAAGATTGATTTTGACCTGACAGAATATGCAAAAGATGTAGGAGCAACAAGACTCCTGCATGATACAAAGGTATGCTGCACTCCTTCCTTCCTACCTTGCTTAGGTCAAGCTGTCTATGTTAACTTGATCTTCTGTAGATATATTTGTAGTTACCAAGTAATTCAGTAGGCAGAGGTTCATCTGATGTCTTTAAAATGGTGAGAATGCCTTGAAAATAGTTTTGCCTACTGTATGGTTGACTGCATGCTTAACACTTTGCTGAGGAATGGCTAGTGTTAGGTGCTTGAAAATTTAGTCTAGGTTATCCCATGTTTAAGGCAAGCAGCCTGGGCAACTTTAAATTTGCTCCTTAGTCTTTGTATAAGTAGCATTTCAAACTTGTACAAAAATTTATCTAGTGCTGTTCTCTTAATGCTAGATAAGAATGTTAGCAATTTTTCAGAGGTCAGATAGCACATTTACACAAAACATCTGATTTCCTACATCTGTAGGAAGTTCAATGTATTATCAGAAATAAAGTAGTTGCTTAGAGATCATTGCTCATTAGGTGAAAAAACAGCTTCAAATCTAGTTGTGGTGAATTTAAGGCTGACATACTGAACATCCTTCTAGACTGGCAAGCAAGGACTGTTTCATAGTCATGAACTCGGCAGCTACCCAAATCTTTGAACAGGCTCAAGGTCAGTAAACTCATGTCTGAAGTTAAATCTTTGTCCTGGGAGCTTTCCAGATGAATGCTTTTAACAGCATTGAATCTTGCAAGGTACAGGTATTACATACTAATTTTAAAACCCTAGATGTAAATACATTTCCTGTCATAAAAAGCAGACACAGATGTTGTAAAAGGCAAGTTTACATGTGCAGGTCTGTATTCTGTCCTAGTACTGTCAGGAGGAGACTTCAAACTCAACTCAAATAGGTATAAGTAACAATTTATATCCTCAACCTTGTCTTTACACGCTCAGGTTTATATCAACTGGGAGCACACAGGCTTCCTTGTTTAGCCTTGTCCTATAAAGTAATGGATGAATTATAGCTTGTATATAAGGAGGAGTTGGCAAGATGCTCTTTGTGATACTGAACTGAGGCTGTTCAGTCTTGGCTAAACTGAAATCCTAGCTAAGGGAGTTCTAAGCTGCATGCAAGAAGGGTTTTAAGGCCAAGGAGAGGTATGGAAGGGAGGTGAGAAACATGTAACTTCCAGATGAGAAACAATGTGCTTGAGAGATTTGAACTGTGACAGTTACATTTGCTTTGAGAGAAGAATAGGGGCAGGTTGTACCTGGAACAAACCAAACTGTTCACATAAAGGCCACCAAATTTCTAAGTCTCCTGAATTTCTGCAGCGACGTTCAGGCTTGAGAAACTGTAGCTGTGTCTGTACAGGACAACTCAACAGCTGTGTTGAATTCAGGGTCCAATGTACTCAACAGCTGTGTCCAAGGCAACAAGGAGGAAATGCAGGAAGTGTACCTGGAGGGCAATAATGGTCAATTGAATCAACCTGGAGATCAGGCGTTTAAATACAACTGATGATAAAAAGAAAAGCACACTGTGCCTCAGTCTGAGCAGTGGTGAGGCTTTTAGAAAATATGTGAACTTCAACACGTGTGTCTTGGTGATGAAGGCACCTGCCTTCACCTACACACTGCTTGAGCACCTTAGAAATGTCCTGGTCAGAAGCAGCTTGATCATGTCCTGTAAGTTCCGTAGAACTACGAGAAAGGTGAACTAGAGCTGTTGAATCTATTACGGTGCTGAGAATCCAGCTGGTATATCAAAATGTGTGCTTACTGGGAGTAACAGCTTCTGAGTGGTCTTCAATGAACTGCATTTCTCCATGGGAGAAAGCACTGTTTCTTGCAAATTCTTTATTAGATTGAAGAAATCAATGTTTCAGGGAATGCTGTCAAACTTCACGTAACCTTGCATCTTTCTCTTTGCTTCTGCAGAGAGATATCCTTATGCATAGATGGAGGTACCCTTCACTGTCTCTGCACGGAATTGAAGGAGCCTTCTCAGCCTCTGGAGCCAAGACTGTGGTTCCTAGGAAAGTGATTGGCAAGTTCTCAATCAGGCTTGTGCCAAACATGACTCCTGAAGAAGTCACAAAGCATGTATGTTGACATGGATTGCTGGTATCAAAACAACTGTCTCTAAACTTCTCCTGTTCCCCATGCCTGGGGGAAGAATTTTTCTGTTTTCTAAAGCAGTTCTGTTCGCTTACTTTGCTACTGTCTTCCCTGTTCTGCACCTCAACACAAGATAATTCAGGGATTCATTTTGTGGTGCCACACTGGACTGTTGTTGTCTGACTACCCAATTGCTCTAAACTCAAAGAAGGGGCTTAGGAGTAAATGCTAATGTAATTGTAGGGCACTTGGACTGCCAGAAATGCATATTCAAAAGCATAAGTATTTGACATACTGGCTAAGTGTTCTACACTATACTGTTAATTTGCCTGAAGGATATATTCTGACTTCAGAATGGAGAATCATAGGAATAATGAAATAAGAGTAATAGGAAAAGTATTGCTGGACTGTCATAGTGACCTGCAAGTCCCTAAGATGCTTTTAGAATATGGACTTTACTAGTGTTCCTACAAATGCTAACAGTAGATAAGATTGTTCAATCTTTCTTATAGGTTGAAGACTACTTGAACAAAAAGTTTGCGGAGCTGCAGAGTCCCAACAAATTCAAAGTGTACTTAGGCCATGGTGGAAAACCCTGGGTGTCAGACTTCAACCATCCCCACTACATGGCTGGTAGGAGGGCCATGAAGACAGGTCAGTGGGTTTTTCACTTGGTGTCGGTAGATTAAAAAGCTCTTGTTCCACCACCTCAAGTGCAGAACACTAAATATTTAGCAAACATGACCTCTTCAGTGTTTCTTATCTAATAACTTTGGCTCACTAAATGAAGTGTCATGTGCAATCCTTAAACTGAAGTTTGAGGTAGAGAAGGAAAGAAACTGGATATCCAATTCATTCATTACTGTTCTGGAACAAGTCTGTTGGTGTGTTGTTGCTTTTGTGTATGAGGTTGTTAGTTCAGATCACCTGCTTAGCCAAATTCCTTGAAGCTTAGTCATTCTAGCGCCCATCTTAATTGGTTTTGGTAGGGCAGCTAGAGCAAATCTAACTTGTGTTGGAGTACAGACAGGCTTTCAGATGAAGTACTGGTGTGTAACTGTTTGAACTGAACTCTGAAAGTAACAATACTGCAGTGCTACATCTGCTGGGGGAAGCTCCATGGTTCTGTGGCCTGTGCAGTCTGGCTGATTTGGCCAGCACCTAGTGCTGGTACTTGATGGCTTAAGTAAGGATTTGTTAGAAAAACAAATATAACTCCAAACTGACTAGAATATCACTTTTCTAGTTTTTGGAGTTGAACCAGACCTGACAAGGGAGGGAGGAAGCATTCCTGTTACCCTTACCTTTCAAGAAGCAACAGGCAAGAATGTCATGCTGCTTCCTGTTGGAGCTGCAGATGATGGTGCCCACTCTCAAAATGAGAAGCTAAATAGGTAAGAGTATTTATCCCTGTGCCAAGGTGAGTTTACTGTGGGCATGTATTATGGAAAACACTAAGAATTGAACTCTTGCTTTTCTTTAATGCTCTGGAAGGCAAAGTGCCATTTCTCCCTAGCAGAGAGTGACTGGGTAACTAATCTGTAGTGGGATCTCGATCTCTTTACTGTTTCTGGCTTTATACACTTGAAACCAGAAGCTTGGCTACCCACTACTCAGAGTGGTGTTTCTGTCTTACCAGGGGAGATGCAGGAAGCTTGGGAGTAGTGCCTGTTGCCTGCAGTGTTTGTCATGTGCATAGGACTGATGTGTGGGCTTTGCAAAAACCACATGTGCTAGAAATACAGCTCAACTAAGACAATGCTAATGGAAGCTGTCTTCTTTCCAGGTACAACTACATCCAAGGGGTGAAGATGCTTGGTGCATATCTCTATGAGGTTTCCCAGCTGAAGGACTAAATTAGACACTTTACCTTATGGTTTATGGATCAGAAGTGTGAATTTTCTTACAAAATGTCATCAGTCACCAAACTTACATGGCTCCCCTTTTCCACAAACACTCCACCACCACTGCGTTGGTGGAGGAGAGGGAAACATGCAGTTCCATTTGACGGACATGTATACCAAAAATACTTCTTTAAATGCTTACTTTAAATTACAAGACTATTCCTTGTCTGGTCAGCAGTCCTGAGCTGCATCTGAGTCTCCTCTGTATCACTTCAGTTTGCTATATTCATCTACTTTTCCTGTAAAAGAAGAGGAATGGTTTGTTCTCAACAGTTTAAGCAGCCATAGCAGTTGTAGAACTGCCAGCTAAATTTAAGGTTCTCGTTCCTGGGTATGTCCTGGAAGTAAGTAGTCAGTGACAGATAATGGGGCTACACTGGAATGTGTTCAAACCTGTCTTTGCTAACTGAGTGATTTGGAAGAGCACTTTGTCTCTTGCAGTTTGTCTCTGCCTGTCTGCAGCTTTCAATTGACAGTGAATCAGGGTATAACAAATTTCACTGTGGTAACAACTGCTGGCCGTTTTTGTAAAGCTGCCTTTGTACTACCAAAAAAGGATAATAAATAATCATGCTATAGTTTGGCTCTTGGTCTCTTTAAAGATTAAATAATGACTTGGGAGGGGAAAGCAGCTTACAGAACTTGGGAGGGATAGAGGCAGATGAGCAACATGGCTGCACAGACCTGGGAACATCCTGGGAATCCAAGTGTTTATTCCTAGGCTCTGGCTCTATTTACAGCTTGTTGACTTGAAGCAGATGTTGCAAAATTCTGTTCTCCTGAGAGAAAGCAAGCTCAAAATGTTTAATTTTGGTTCTGTAAGACAGATCATCACACTGTAGCACAGCTGATGGTCCTGCAAGGGAGTGGGTGGGATTTGTGATCTCTCCCTGCTTATGCCTAGTCGTTGCAACTACTAAGGTACAACTTCAAGCTGTCTTCTGGATACATTAAACTCCAACACCTGTTATTGTGTCAAAAGACCAAACCCTCTTAAATGTGTGTTAATCTAAACTAGATTGGGATCACTGTTTCTGAATTACCTGACCAGCACTAGCAACCTAAACTAGGTAAGTATTTCAAATGATGATGCTTTGCTCTGAGAGTGTGGTGCATTCTGTATCCTGGCATAGGTGAACAGCATGTCATGCTTTCCTCCCTTGAGGGGCAGAAGGCAGGAGAGTCTTCTCTGGTTTTCACTGTTGCTTGATCTGGAGACTTAATAGTGTTGGGATAGGGAGTCTTCTGGTCTCCTTGAAGCTTCTAAAGTGTCTCTGTCTAATTTTGTTCTTTTTGGTTTGTCACTGGAGTTAATGGCTGGAGATAATCTGGTACCATTAAACTCTGCACATGCAGCTGGGGTACAGTCAGACCCGTGTCATATGCCTCCATCAGTACTTGTGAGCACCAGGCACCTGCACAACACTGAGAGTTGGCTGCTGGGTTCTCACCTGTCAGTGACAGTGGAACTACTCTGCTAAAACATGCAGGAGGCACATAGGACAAGACTGGCATACCAGCATATTTGAAGGTCATCTGTATGCTGAGATCAGGGTAACTAGTCCTAGCAGTCAATGTATCTTCCTTGGTTACTGAGTTGGTACCTTAGACTTCTCTAAATGGGGCAACAGTTACATAAAAAGATGATTCCCTCACTGTTGGTGGTTTTATGTTGCTTGTTTTCTATTCACCAACCCGAAAAGCATCAAAACTTCAGAAAATCTGGATCCTGGACTGAGGTAATACTTGTTTCTCATGATGTAAAGAAAAAGCTGTTTGGGCAGGAGGAAAGCTGTTAGTGTTTATGCATTATGTTCTGTATTATGTTCAGAAAGTGTATCTAGTAGTCCTGTTGCATTTGTAACAAATTTTTTGAGAATCAGTTAATTGGCTCAAGCTCTGCACTGAAGACACTGCATCAGATCTTACACTTCCTAAGTACAGCATGGCAGAGTTGTGAAGGAGGCCCAAAATAGAAGGGTGTTAAGGGGTCTGTAGGAAAGCCTGAGAAACAGATAGTGTTGAAAGTAAAGCAGAAATATTTTGTCATGGGGTGAGTCCCAGAACACTGTGAAAAGGAGATTAAAATGGGACTTTGGCCTAAGCAAAATGCAGGGTCTATTTAAGCACACAAGAGTAAGCTGCTAAAGTACTGAGTACTTTGAGATTTAATGGGACTTCAGATTTCTTTAGATGTATAATTTTAAAGTTGGAAATGAGCAATATCGGTTACCTTGCTACAACAGAGCTTCTTTTAGCTGTAACCTCTCTTGTCCCTGCTGAAGGTGACCACAAAAGCAGTAGTACTTGGCCTGATTGAACAATACAGGCAGAAAGAACTGATGGTGCCAGCTTATTTCTGTAGCCTGCCTGCTTCAGACCTGACTCCTTGAAGACATCTAGTTGCAGAGATCTGGTTTGCTGCATCCTTAAATGCTTGTGCGTGGTATGAAGAGTTTGCTTAGCCCAAGTTGTTTGAATTAACAGCACTGTTGTACAACACAGAAGTGCCTGACCTGAGAAAGTGGGAACTGCTCATGAAAACCAAAAGGCATCAGTGAAGCACAGATCCTTGTGGCACCATCTGCTGGGAGTGCAAAGGCTGCTTGGCATTTCCCACATGGAACTTCACAGCATTGCTTTACCTGCTACAGGTAAAGGCTTGCTGAAAGGCTTGGCCAGGTCCAGTTAATAACATGAAAGCTTGTATAATTAATATCCCTCAATAGGTACTCATTAAAAGACTTCTAAGTGAACTGACATAACTGCCAGACCAGTCTGTAGCTAGAGGATGGTACCACCAGAAGGAGGGCAAGACTGCAGCAGTTTCAGGCGGTTCTGGTTAGCCTGGGTAGCTGCTATGTATCTTTGCTGTGCTAAGTAACTCCTACCCACTGGTAAGCACCAAAAAAAATCTTCCTGCTGGTTTTGCAGTTTCTTCCTTATGGCCTTTGCATACAGTCATCATAGTCTGTCTGGGATGGAGCTATGTCTGCAGCAACTTTACAAATGTGAACAGCTACAATGTCCTGAGTAGAGAAAAATGTGTCAACTCTGTTTACAAGCAACCCAGCCAAAATTCAGGTGCTTATTGGAGGTTGGTGAATGTCACCCCAATCCACAAAAAAGGCTGCAAGCAGGACCCTGGCAACTACAGGCCTGTCAGCCTGACCTCGGTGCCTGGCAGGGTTATGGAGCAGATCATCCTGAGTGCAATCACACAGCACCTTCAGGATGGACAAGGGATCAGACCCAGCCAACACGGGTTTAGGAGGGGCAGGTCCTGTCTGACCAACCTGATCTCTTTTTACGATCAGGTGACCCACCTGGTGGATGAGGGGAAGGCTGTGGATGTGGTCTATCTAGACTTCAGCAAGGCCTTTGACACTGTCTCCCATAATATACTCCTGGAAAAGCTGGTAGCCCATGGCTTGGACAAGTGTACCCTCTCCTGGATTAGGAGCTGGCTGGAGGGTCGGGCCCAGAGAGTGCTGGTGAATGGAGCTGCATCCAGCTGGCAGCCGGTCACCAGTGGTGTTCCCCAGGGGTCTGTGTTGGGTCCAGTCCTGTTTAATATCTTTATTGATGATTTAGATGAGGGGATTGAGTCCATCATCAGCAAATTTGCTGATGACACCAAATTGGGAGGGAGTGTCGACCTGCTGGAAGGCAGGAGGGCTCTGCAGAGGGATCTGGATAGACTGGAGAGATGGGCTGATTCCAATGGGATGAAGTTCAATAAAGCCAAGTGCCGGGTCCTGCACTTTGGCCACAACAACCCCCTGCAGCGCTACAGGCTGGGCACAGAGTGGCTGGAAAGCAGCCAGGCAGAAAGGGACCTGGGGGTACTAATTGACAGGAAGCTCAACATGAGCCAACAGTGTGCCCAGGTGGCCAAGAAGGCCAATGGGATCTTGTCCTGTATCAAAAATAGCGTGGCCAGCAGGAGCAGGGAAGTGATCCTTCCCCTGTACTCTGCGTTGGTGAGGCCACACCTTGAGTATTGTGTTCAGTTCTGGGCCCCTCAGTTCAGAAAGGATATTGAGGTGCTGGAGCGGGTCCAGAGAAGAGCAACAAGGCTGGTGAAGGGACTGGAGCATAAGTCCTATGGGGAGAGGCTGAGGGAGCTGGGGTTGTTTAGCCTGGAGAAGAGGAGGCTCAGAGGTGACCTCATCACCGTCTATAACTACCTGAAGGGAAGTTCTAGCCAGGTGGGGGTTGGTCTCTTCTCTCAGGCACTCAGCAATAGGACAAGGGGGCACGGGCTTAAGCTCCGCCAGGGGAAATTTAAGTTGGATATCAGGAGAAAATTCTTTACAGAGAGAGTAATCAGGCATTGGAATGGGCTGCCCAGAGAGGTGGTGGATTCACCATCCCTGGAGAAATACTTGGACGTGGCACTGAGTGCCATGATCTAGTAAATGGACTGGATTTGGACCAAGGGTTGGACTCGATGATCTCGGAGGTCTTTTCCAACCCAATCGATTCTATGATTCTATGATTCTATTGGATTAGCAAACTTTCTAACCGCATCCCTTTTGATAATTTTGGCTGGGCCCAGAAGGGGGACATGCTTATTGCTTAGACTAAGCTTAAGCAGGCAAGCATTGCTTCAAGATTTTTTTTTCATATCCATGTTTTACTTGTCTACGACTTGCCTCTTAGGGGTAACCAAGTAGGGGCCCAACTTACTACCAGTTGACCCAAAGGGCATGTAGCTGTAAATCAGTGGGATTTTTCCTGTGAGCCTCTGCTTAACTAAGTTACATCAAAATACTTAAAGTAGTTGGATCACCCTTGTACCCTGTGTGTGCCCTCAACTCCAAGATAATTTTGCTTTTCTTGTCTAGATTCCCTTCTAGTCCAACTTGAAGGAACTGGGTAACACTACTTTACTTGAAAGCTGAGCTTTATTGAAAGTAATGAGGAGATTTGTACATCCTCACTTTGCTATATTTTTTATTTCTTCTTTCTTAAGTTATTCAAGTCAGCAGCAGCAGTTTCCTGGAAAGCAGTTCTGAGGCCTAGGAGAATTACTTGCAGAAGGATGACTTCATGAATAGGCAGCTGGAAAAAAAAAGGAAGGGTATCTGTATGCCATAAAAGCAAAACACCTTCTTCCATCCTTTTTCCTGATGTGGAATGATGGCTTGATTCCTGGTAGGAATGAAACATCTCTTGATCAGTGGCATGTGGCTGTCAGAAAGTCTAGATGGCTTGTACTTTCAGTTCTTCCATTCCAAAAATGGAGATCTACAACTTGCATTTTACAACCACTTGTTCTCAGGGTGAAACTACTGCAAAACTGAGAATATGGACTTCTGGCTTGCAATACCTCATTGCTCACTAGATTTCTTGTGTCTTAGCAAAATCCATGACAGTGCATCTTGACATGTAATATGCACTTAAAAGAGCAGCTGGAGTTATTACAAGCTATTATCTCTAAATGAATAAGCCATTTAAAATGTAATTTTTCTTTATTCTTCGTGTTCTGGGAAACAAAAGCATACACATTAAAAACACAGCCCTGATGTGCAAGTTTCAAGCATATGATGCCATCCATTCAACTAGGATGCCA